TATGTGGGGAAAACTTTAGTGTTTGGAGTGGAGTGACAGCATCTAAGCATGTGTTCGAGTTATGGTAGAAGATGCTCAGAGCTCTCGAGAGGTCATCAGTAGTGAATTATTCGCTCCATTCGGAGGATCTCAGCACTGATTCTACTAAGGTCCAGTTTGCCTTACTATAGTTCCTATATAGTACTTGTTGTGAAGTGGAGGTATGAGCTGCATTGCTACTCAATGGAAGTTTCAGAGCACACACCACGTTCTGTGGTCACTACCTGAAAACTTAGAACCCACTAAGATTGAGAGGGGGCTTATATCGTGACAGAATATTAAGTCTAGTACATTGTCACCTCTTGTAGGGATAGTGACAGTTTGTTTTCAGCCGAAGATGTCCAGTGTACCCAAAAGCTTGTCATATTAAGTTGGGCCTGTTAATAAATCCCAGTTGATTTCGGGTAGGTTCAAGTCTCCACATATGATCTTATGCTCGTATGGAAGAGTGGATACTTGCTCTGCGTACATTTATAAGTTGTTTCCCGTAATCACTAAAAGTATAAGGTGCTCTGTAGATACATCCTATTAGTAGTGTAGCACTTTTAAAGTGTACGTTGACCCATAGGGTGTCGTGCATGTCATTGAGTTCCTTATTTTCTAGCTGCAATACAGTAAGTGTGCTCAGGAAGTACATTAGGCAGCCTCCTCCCTTACCACTCTTCCTGTCAAATCAAAAGAGTGTGTGTACCCTCCGATGCTTATCTCTTCGTCTGGTATATTGGAGTGACACCAAGATTCAGTATTAGTGATTATTGGGGGTTTGTATACCAGCGTGTGTGCCCTGAGCATCGGTAGTTTGTTCAGGATAGATCTAGCATTAATAAGTATTAAGTGGAGTTGAGATTTGAAGTAGTGTTTGAAGTGCTTAAGCTCGTCAATAAGGTTCAAATGTGGTTCGGCATCCACTGTTTCCGCGTGGCATATAAGCACTGTGTTGCAACTAGTTTGTCCACCTATGTCTGTCGATTTACTATCCATTTTTTAGTGGGTAATATGTTTGATTATTAGATAAACTATACGATGACCTGGTTCTAGGCTTGGGTAGGTTGGAGACTTTATTTGGCCTATGCTTGTACAGTCTTTGGGTGTGACTAATAGTTCCGTGTTTACTAGCCCATGTCTGTTTTCTTCCCGATAAGGGGCCGACGTTAGTGGTACGGGTTCAGAATGGTTAACATCCCCACCAGCTGTTTGGTTAGCGCTGACAGGGATGTGTTGGATAAAAATCTTTGGTAGCTTGTGATGCCCATGACTTGTTAATCTGCCTATTGTGTGGGGACATTCCAGGAGACCTTACATGGGTGTCGTTATATGCATAGCTGCACTGTGGTTTGTTTCCCAGATGGCTTGTTCCGTATAATCTGCCAAAGTTAGTTTGTGTGTCATGCTTTGTAGACCCTGAGTACCCGGTGGCTGAGCTTCGAGTGTTGTCACTAATATAACATATTTATTTTCGAATATTTAATAAAAGCGAATGGACAATTTTTACAATATTCAAGTTGAGTACACGCACAAAAATACATGGAAAATTTCTTTAATATTACATAATTGTAAAAAAAGAAAGAAAGAAAAATAGAAGAAAATTTGCCCAGCAGCCCATGTTTTTTCCAATATTATGTACTTTTACTGCAGGACTATCAGTTTTATGTATTTTTATGTGTGATTGTTCATGTCATGTGTCCATGTGAAACGTTAATATGTGGTGTAGAAGTTTGATTTTAATATCTAATATCTATAAAATCATTAAATGTAATACAAGAATCTTTTCAATTTTGAGCATTTGGATGTTGCTTACATATGTGAATCATAGGATATCAGCGACAGTTGTGTGTAGCAATAGTCTTTAACATCGGAGAGTTTTATAAAGACAATATGCTCTTTGCGTGTACATAGTGTGGAGCAGTTAGAAGATATAGAATAAACAAAATTGTCACGTATTTAGGAGGTTCATAACAGTACTATAGGTTCTATGAGTATATATATGTGTATGAGCGTCATAATTTGTCTCGCAGTGTATTACAACAGATGGTAGTACAGTAGACGTTCACAGAGTAGTTTGATGTGATAATAAATTTACAACATCATTGGTTCAATTGTTTTCCACGTCTGAGTCTATACGTTCCACGCATATAAGTATCATAGATTTTCAAAGAGCCTTTGATGGTTGAGATGCAGAGGTTCGAAATGTCGAAGGAGGTGAAGAACAGTCCGCGAAGGTATCTTGCAGAGAGTTGACTGATCATCCCTCGATAAGAGATTACAACAGGAATTTGCAGGATTCTTTGAACCGTATGTCCCATTGCAGACAGGAACCGTTGGCATGCAGCAACCATCGTTGGAGTTCCGTATTTTGACATCTTCAACGCATGGCTGATATAAATGAAGGCGTCGCTGCAGATTGTTACGTCGAGAATGTATGCTACTCCGTCTAACAAGATAATTAGATCAGGTTTACAGAAAGACGTGGGCGTTGGAACACATGGCTCGACGTAAAATCTGGTATTCATTTTGCGCAATTTGTTAGCGATGAGCTTGAGGACGTAGTTGTGTCTCTTGCATCTGACGTCATGAGTTAGAGCGCAATGCTGAAGAATATGTTGAAGATTTTCCGGTTGACCACACCCGCCTCTGCAATTGATGTCCGCTCTAGAACGTCCACGCGTACTTCTCGTTTTTGTGCCCAAGAGGCCTCCACGCAGTTGAACGGCTCGTACATAGAGTTTGGGCAAGACCATTTCGGGGTTGAGAAGCCATTTGTGAGATTCAAGGCATTTTGTTGACTCAGTCAAACCGTAACCATCCGCCGATGAGTGTAGCTGTTGTGCCCAGCTTTCAAGGGCTTCTTCTACTGATGTCACTATTTGTCTATGGGCTTGCATCGGAAGGTTGCAGATCCTAAGAAAGGGTGTGAAGGTGGCGGAGGACGCGATGCTGCGTATGAGCGGATTCCTGTTGTTTAGTAGTGCCTCGATTCTTTTGCGACTATGAATCGGAATCGTTGTTGAGAGTATCATAATTCCCAGGCCTCCCTTTTTGATATCCGCGTGGAAAAATGCAGTTGGAGTGTCTTTCGGGAGGTGAAGCCAGCGGCGGACAGCTGCACGAATAAGTTTGTCCATCGTGTTCAGAGTATTCTTGTGAGTGATGCTCAGAGTCAGTAAATATAGTAGACGAGGAATCAGATTGTTCTTCAGGATTCTCATTCGTTGATGAGGTTTAAGGGGGGCGCTTTTCACATTGTCTAAGTATTCATTGAGGACGCCGACAAGGGGACTAAGTACCAACGAAATGCTTGCTAGCAGAAACATATAAAGATTTAACGAGAGTTCAAATATTGAGGACGTTTGATTGTTAATCATTAATGGGTGGATAACCACAGAAAAAGACAAATTCCGAAGTTAGTGAAACCAGCAGCTCGACCAAAATGGTGCTGTGGAATCATTTTTATGTGGCTACATTTATTATTATTTAACAAGTGTTAATCAAGCCAGTATTTCAAAAACCCCGGGAGGTACAAAATAGATTGACTCTTTCCTGCATCACTTTTCGCATTTCTGTGAATGTATTTTATAGCAGTTAGTCAGCTGCCAAGATAAAGTATTGGATGACATGTGAAGCAATACTACTGCTTCATAAATTTTAAGTCATCAATTACAACTCCACTGTCAGGGTGGAAAACAGGAATGAGCGGAGTACTTCAGGGAACTATAACAGGCCCCTTGCCATTTCTAGTATGCGTAAATGAACTACCAAAAACTCTCAACTCATCGTCACTATTACTTGCGGATGATATTTATATCTGGAAAAATGTAACTAGCAACGATGACAGGTCGGTCATACAAAGTGATCTAGATAAACTAACTGAATGATATAACCGCTGTAGTAAGAAAATTAATTCCAAGAGAACTGCAGTAATGCACTTAGGTCACAAGCCTTACACGTTGTATTGCCTGGGAGACACAGAACTCCCCCATGTCAACGGACAAGCGGACTCAAGGATCACTGCCGCCTGTAACATGAAAACAACTGCAAATTTTAACGCATCTGTAACTAAGGCTTTTCGGATCCTAAGGGCACTTCGAAGGATTCCACACGATTAGACAAATCTATTTTCAAAGTAATAAGCGCAAAATATGTCAAGCATCATCTAGAATACTGCATACAAGCAGCTAGTCCGTGGGCCAGGAATGAGGTACATTTACTGTGGGCGGCATAGAGGGCAGGCACCAAATCAGTCAGCAGTATCTCACACTATCTTTATGAGGAGATGATATGACATTTAAATCTCTTCCCATCACCATACCTAGGGAGTAGGGGTGGCTTAATTCCGGCATACTATATATTAAGAGGTAGTCTGAGGACTGATCTATTTAACCTTTTCTCTTTTTCTCGGATAAATTTACGAGGTTACCACCAAAAGGTGCTCAAACCCCAGCGAATAATATACGTGTGGAATTTAGGTTCTCCCACAGAGTAGTTAGCGACTGGAACTTCGTACCCTAATTCAGTAGTGTCAGCTCCATCCATGAATGCTTTAAAAGAGAAATTGAGTCTCCACGTATATATATATATATATATAGCAGGGATTAACACAGACAACAACAGTTTACTATCCTTAATATCTGAAACTAACTATATAACTTTTGTTACTTTGCCCATTCCTGATTTCTCCGGAATTTATTGAAGTTCAGAAGACTTGCTGAAGCTAATAATATGAAAAGTGACAGACAACAGACATGTAAGATGGGATTAACAGAGACTGTAGTGTTGCAATGCACAGATAATATACCAGAATTCCCTTTTCGATACGTTAGAAATATGACTTAAACTCTTTTTCAAAGAAATCCCTTATTAAAATTTTCCATCCTAGGTAAATGCATGCTCTGCAGCTGAAAACTGATCTATTTATAAATAATATATATTAGGTAATATTTATTGGACATCTGAATACTTGCTGACTTGACACTATAGGTGGAGTATTCAAAGAAAATGACACTAAGATGACCAAAGAGGACGGAGCTGGGCACGTGAATGTAGACGAAGTAAATGGCGATGCAGTGCATCACAAAGCAGAACTAGCATCAAAAATACGTGAAGTCACTCCACTGAAGCCAGCCAAAGGTGCGGTATTAAGTATAACAAGTAAAAACAACAATTGCATAACAGCATCGTATAGGTTTAATGCGTGTATTAATGATCCCATACATATAATAGTCGATGAATCTTAGGAGTTTCGCTATCTTTAGTCTTCTCTTAATTCGTAATAATGGAAGGTGGTTTCAGCAACTATCATGTGCTATCATCTCAAGGCGCGATGACAATGGTCACACACCGCCTGCTACCCAATCCGAATTTGTAGTTATGTTAAAACAGCCAGAAATATAGTGTCTGTTTTAAGTGCGTCGTCTTGCATCTTCAGATGCATTCGTTTTCAATGCTTAAATATGTAGAGTTCGATACTGAATGGATTTAAATGTTACTGGAAATGCCAAGTAACTTTAAATTCGATGATTCCACATGGTCAACTCCACAGTGTCACTTCAAGAACTAGGAATAACTTTCAGTTGTCTTAAAATCTGTGTCAATTGCTGTGTGAAGTAATTTTGGGTTAATTTTATATGTGACCGTACTTTAGGTAGAATGGAATATATAGCCTACCTGTCGTGGCTAGATTAATTGATTTCTAAAGTTAAGCTGTCCAAAGGTCTTGGTGTTCATCCAAATTTAATGCGAGAATGGAGTTTTCTCCACTACGTTTGCATATAATATCAGATTTCTGTCCATGAAATAAACAGGCAAAATAAAGTGCATCATTTGAAAAAAATAGACTTACAAACAACAATAAATGGAATAGGGATGCTCAGAGTAGACTTATAAGAAGTTAAAAGACATGCTAAGGCGACTTGGAATATGTACATTTGCAGTATAGTTTCGCGCTACGAATCATGAACACCTCACATCTGTAAAAGTTCGAACCGAGAACAATAATCGATTGGAAAACGTCTGCACGCATCACGCGTTTTTCTGAAGTCCTGGTTTTCTGTCTTGCCTGCTGCTGACAGATCTTGGAAACCTATTGTTGAAACTCTCGGCGCTGAAAGTCTAGAAATTGCAATACCGAGTAAATCAAACTTAATTAGATAATATACACTAGCAGTAATTCTTTAGCCCAGAATCATAGTTCCTGTTATTTAAGCCGTTGTATTTCAATAAATTAGTGACATGAATCTATGTTCAGCCTGTGAATTTGACTTAAATGCTTAGAAACCTCCTTCGAATTGTTATTTTAAATTTGAACAATCCTCTTTGTTGAATTCTTTATCGTGGTCCTCGTCCTTACTTCACTCACTCGTTATTTTGTTCTATAATCTGTTCAATTTTTAGATGCTTAATGGCTGCACTTACATAGCAGTTCTCTTATAGCTATTTAGACAACAGTTTATCGCCAACATCATTTGCATTTCGATGAGGGTAAGACGGCAGCTTCTTTTTTACAAGAGCTTTGGAAAGCCTCACAGTTGATGTCTGCTCCATTTAAAAGACTGCTACCAGATGCAAGTGAATTGAAGTAAAGAATATTTTCTCAGTTCCGTTACTTTGTATTACATACGCTTATTTGTGTGAGTATGACGGTATCCAACCTTATCAGTATCGCAGGCGCTAGAGTCTAAATTACTGTATTGGATTAAATCCCCAATAAAGACTTACACTGGTGACTGAGAGTATATGGAACGGTACTTACTAAACAGAAATGGATTGCTGTGACTGATGCACCATGTGAGCTATCGGACATGTTCTACTGAAAGCTAAAAGAGTTTTTCTCTCAACTTTGGGCATAGAGCCTAAAATTTACCCACTTTATCATGTAATTAAAGCAGGTAAACATTTTAATGCTGAGGTGTTACTCGAGAATAGACATTTTTATAAGGCATCTGAAAAGCTAATTAGGTGAGTGACTGTGCCTCATTCAGATTTGATTTTTGACTTAACTGTAATTTATTATATCAGGTGTGGTCTAATTTGGGGAGAAATTGACCTTATATTTCAGTCTTTAGTAAAATTATTCATCTCACTGTACATATCTATATTGTTTCCTGAAGTGAAGTGTTATGTTTTAAAGCCAAATGAAATATACTGATTACTCAGTTTTTTTTTATTAAACTTTCAGGCAATGTTCACTTCAAAATTCTGGTACCATCGATAGCTGCTGGTGCAATCATCGGCAAAGGAGGTGAAGCAATAACAGAAATTCAAAATCAAACATCAGCCAAAGTGAAAATGTCCAAAGCAAATGCCTTCTATCCAGGTATGTATTAGAAATCCAATGCTTAGGTTTAAAAACTAATTTCTAGGTACAACTGAACGAGTGTGCTTAATTGTTGGTACTATTGAAAGCATACTCCGTGTATTTCAATATATATCTGAAAAAATTTATGAGAAACCAGAATCTGTTCCGAGAACTGGCTGCGAAGGTCGAATACCTACTGAGAGGCATAAACAGGTAATAATTAGATATTTCATCCAGTGTTCATGGTACAAAGTTATCTTAGCTCATCTAGTATGGTAAAATTTTCGGTAATATTTTTAATAATATGGAAAACCGCAGACGCTCATCATTAGATGTATCTACCTGAAAAATCTTGTTCGCTGACTTCATTGTTTTTAATGTTTCAAATACATGTGCCAGAGGTGAATCTGGTGGTGAAGCACGATATTTTTGTGCGAAAGTAACTGATAGTCATCGTTATGCAAATGATATTTAGTCATCTCTGTAATTCTGTTTGGAAATCGCCTTGTAAGCTAAAACAGTGTTTCAATAACTTTTGGGTCATCGGGATACTTCCCCTACACTTATTATATTATTATTATTGTATCCTTTAATTCCTACAGGAACATAGGGATTCAGCCGTGTGTCTCTATTGCGTTCTGTTCTCTGCTAGAGTCTTCACCTGGCTCCAAGTCTCCCCACACGTTTTTATCTCTTCTTCACATGACCTCCTCCAAGTCACCTTTGGACGACCAACTCGCCGCTTCCCTTTCGGGTTCCACTCAAGGGCTTGTCTAGTGATGTCACTTGATGGTTTCCTCAGAGTGTGACCAGCCAATCCATCTCCATTTCTTCCTGCCTATTTGTTTCACAATCGGCTCCTGCTGAGTTGGTTCGCTCCCAGAGATCCTTGTTGCTGATCTTTTCTGGCCATCTGATCTTGAGTATTGAGCGAAGACAACTGTTAATGAAGGTTTGTAGTTTGTTTGAGATGCTCTTTATGACGCGCAGTGCAAGTCTCTGATCCGTATTGTGAATAGCACTGACTTCACATTTGAGTTGAAAATCCGGATCTTATTTTTGATGCTTAGTGTTGTTGACCTTCTGCACACAGACTTGAGAGTAGTGAAAGCTTGTCTTGCTTTCCCGATTCTTGCTTTGATATCCTCGTCAGTTCCGCTGGCCTGTAGTTGAAACGATGCTTCCAAGGTAGGTAAGAGGTTGTTTCTTTCAGGTTCCTCCCATTTATGCTGATTGTTATCAGTTGTTGTTGTTGCTGTTGGTGGTGTTGCCCAGGAATTTTCATCACCTCTGTTTTATCTATGTTCACCTGAAGTCCTATCTTTGATGCTTCTTCTGCTAACTTATTGCTTTTCGCTTGCATGTCTTCCAGTTTGTGGGAAATCAGACATATATATTTTATCGGCGAAGTCCAGATCCTCCAAGTTTTTTTGTGTGAGTCCATTTTATACCTGTTTCTTCATTGCTTGCCGCTGTCTGTCGCATTATCCAATCTAGTGCAATCAGGAAAATCATTGGCGATAGTACGCAGAGAGCCAGCGTGTCTTACTCCTGTCCTCACTTCGAAGGATTCCGTAAGTTTCCTGTTGTGGATTACTTGGCATGCAGCATTGTCGTACAGCTGTTGGATGAGGTGTATAATTGCCGGTGGCACCCCTTGGTAGTTGCGAAGTAGTTTCCAAAGCACCTCTCGATCAACGATGTCGAAGGCCTTTTCAAAGTCGATGAAGTTGAGATAGAGAGCTGACTGCCATTCTAGGCTTTGTTCAATGATGATCCGTAATGTGGCGATCTGATCAATGCATGACTTGTTTCTCCTGAATCCAGCCTGTTCCGGTCGAAGTTTCTCATCCAGATTGGCGTGTTTGATTCTCTCCGGGATGATACGGCTTAGAATTTTGCTTGAGATAGACAGGAGCATAATTCCGTGCCAGTTCTTGCATTGACTTAGGTCTCCTTTCTTTGGTAGTTTGAATAAGTATCCTTTCTTCCAATCTTCGGCTACTTTGCCTTCTTTCCACACCTTCTCCAGTAGTGGTGTCATCAAGTCCGCTGTTGTCTCTGGGTCCGTTTTCAATGCTTCTGCTGGGATTCCATCTGGTCCTGCTGCTTTTCCAGCTTTTAGCATCTTGATTGCCTTCAGGACTTCTGATTTCGTCGGGGATTTGGTGTTCACTGGTAGCCCTGTCTCCGTTGTTGGTATTGCTGGGCGCGTTGTAGGTGATGGTCGATTTAGGAGTCTTTTGAAGTGTTCAGCCCAGTGTTTCCTTTGCTCCACTTCTTTGGTGAGTGACTTTCCATTGTCGTCCTTCACCGGCTTGATTTGTGTCAAACATTTGCCCAATAGGTACCTAGTAGTTTGGTAGAGTGTTGCAAGGTTTCCTTTGCCTGCAGCTTTTTCTGCCTCACTTGCCATAGTTTCATAATACTTTCTTTTGTCTTCTCTGGCACTCTTCTTTACTCTTTTATTCAGTGTCTTGTAGCTTGCATTCAAATCCTGTTTTTGTTGCTCATCGGTGCACTGAAGAATCTTTTGTTTCACCATCCCTCTCTCTTCTATTAGTTTCCAAGTGTCCGTAGTGAGCCATTGTTTGTCCTGTTTCTTCTTTCTTTCTGCCTAGAACTTCCATGCAGGTTTGACTCCACACTGTCTTCAAGTGTTGTTCCAGTCTAATTAACGAAGTCATGTTTTGTTGCCATGGAAACAACACAAATTATGTGCTGCGTTATCAACGGCTTTCTGATGAATACAATTCTGTCGCAGTAATAAATAGGCTAAGGAGTCAAGAGGGTCATTATATTCTAGAAAGCAGTTTACACTAAAATCAAAGTATTTGTGTGATAAAATTCACAATATTCTTCTTGTTTTCCACATTCATATGATTAATTAGTTAGTTTATGGGGATGAAATTATTTCCACCTTCATGTACCGGACTGTTTGTTTCTCCTGTACATCTCTGTTCATTGTAGTTGCTTTGAATTTTTACCTCTACCTTTGTGCGCTATATATGGCGTGCAGCAACTTAAACTGCTACACTTTTGTGCAAATTTCTACAATGACAACTCAGTTAGTTAGTCGGTTTCATCAAACTGTTAACTTCGTACTTATCAAAAAAAAAAAAAATAGTTAAACCCTCAAAAATTATGGATGGTGAAAACAACGTAAATATACGATACTAACACTACTTGAAATATCTGTGGACCACTTTCGGTTAATCAGTCACTTAGACATTTACGCATATGTTCAACATAGGCCTTGCATAAACAGTCAGTTTTCTTGTGTGTTGAAGTTTCTGTAGCCCTTACGCCCAACCTCCCTCTTTTCCCGGACTTGAGACCGGTTAGAGAACTGGTGAGCCTGTGAACTAAGTAAAATAAAAAAAACTGGCCAAAAAGAATTGGCGACAATAAACTATGGGAACAAGAGAGGTTTCGCGTGCACTTCGGATTGTGAGGGCAATTGTTACTTCCCGGCTGCCCACACGGTGGAAGTTGGTTGCGTGACCGCAGAGCCCAGGGGACAACTGCTTGAGGCCGGTCACACACGGCCTGTTTTTGTTTGTTGTTTTTCATTTGGTGTGTCTCAGTAGCGTATTTATCACTTCTGCCCTGTGACACGGCAGCAGAAAGCGTGGTCGTTGTTAATCTGGGCCCCGACCGATCCGGCATGATATTTTGTGATTTATTTGAAGTCATAGGATTGGATTGGGTAACTGCTTTTAGTCTAACCGCTATCCAAACAACCTTTCTGGCATGGTAGGACCTGCAAGAACATAAGTTCCAGCCAGTATAGCTTGTTGGGTGGTCATTGCGGTGTTCAAGCCCGACCACCACGTCAAGGTAGCAGCAATCAATCAACCAATCAAGAACTTATCACTCAAGAAATATTTTGGAAAAAATGGTGATGGATAGGTCACACTGAGGAGACCGTAAAATGACATCGTTCATCAAGCTCTCGAGTAGAATCCGAATGAGGAACGACAAGTGGATCGTCCGAGGGTGACATGGAAGAGATGAGGGATTATGCGGAGTCGTTAGCCCAGCTAAAGAGGACAGCAGAAAATAGAAAAAAGTGGAGATGTGTTGTTGAAGCTCTATGCTCCACTCGGAACCCAAGGGAACAATAATAATAATAATAATATAAACGGTCGGTTAGTAAATACATCGACTGTTGAGACAGTGTTCAGTGACATTCCAGACTTTATCTTCTTTGCTGGTTGAAGGTTCGTCGCTACCATTCTTTGCACAGCATTTTCCATAAAACATTTTTACACTCAGAGCCAGAAATACTTTTTTATTATTTCAAAATCACTTGTCATTCCTAAGTCTTACATCAGACATTAATATCTGGTTCCACCATAGATAGATAAATACAACATATGAGGTGCTTATTTAATCGTTAACTTCTTCCCACTCGTATGATGTGAATGAAAACTAAACAGTGTTAAGAAATATCCTTCACTACCGATGGACATCTTGATACTTCGTCTGCGTTATTGATGGAGCAAATTGGTAAATGCTAATCAAGCTGTCTTTATTAAGGCTGATGTTGGCTCTTAGAAAGTAAAACTTTCAAGCCATATATCACTTAAGAAAGGTGTTAATATGCATCGTTCTTGCTAGATCATGTGTTATTTGATAGGTTGAAAGGACATACTTTTCCTTTTCTTAGTGCTAAGCAGACTTAGAAGTTAAGTTCCGTTTGGAAAATCCGTTTTCGAGAAACAGTAGTACTCTCCTACAAATCATTTAACCTATAGATTATTGATGTAGTTACTTTGATAAATGAGTCAAATCAGAGGAGGATGATAAATAATCTAAAAAATTCTATTTCAATTCAAGTACATCATAACATTCTGACAAGTTACTTATTTTGACTATAAAAACACTCGTCTTATTTTCCATCTAATTGTAATGGATTAATAACACTCGTACTATTATTATTTCTGAATGTACATTATCCCATATTGATTTTTATTCAAATATCTAATCAATTCAACTCATGTATATAAATGAAGCAAGAAAGTTGTGTGAGTGACATGATATGATTATGAGCAATAGTTTGTGCTCGAAACGTCGTATAACACTGTTTGATTTATCAAAATGAAATCTTATCTATAGTGGAGTTATACTTTACCACAGTACCCAAGTTTTATACTTATATCAAATGAGTCGTCTTTTTAAAATATGGTCATCGACTGGACTTCGGGCAGCCAGTTTGTCATTAGTCCTCAAGTTATAGGTGTAGATGTTAGGCTGCTTAGTTGGGCCTCAGGATGGTCGGGGGTGAGTGCCTTGCGCTGCGGGTTGGCCACCCCTCCACACACCTCTTGAAATGCTCCCATGTGACCGGGCGTCTTACATAGCCTCTCCTGAGGAAGTCCTACTCACTGCCTTCACGTGGTGGAGGTGTTTTTCACCAAAGTGAGAGGGCGAAAGCGGATGCCCGGCACTCTTCACTGGGTTGACTGTCCATTGGATGACAGTCTAGGGGAGATGGCTAAACCCTGATTCAAAACCTCCAACGACTGGCGTATGAAGCTCACTGGAGCTCACCGGGAGGACGTATGGACAAAGGGCTTGTTGGATGTCTGTCCCCATTCTAAAAGGCGTATGAACCGAACTCCGGTCACCGGCTGCCAATGGATAGTGGACTCCCTACTCCACTCCTACTGCCTTGTAGGTCACACTTGGTTGTGTAAAGGCTAGAGCTGCACTCTCAAAGAAAAGGCCGAGCGATTCTGGGGACATCACTCGTACCAAATTCCCATGAAACTTTATGAACTCTCTTACAAACGATTCGAGATGTTCATGAAGCCGGCTCATCCTCCCGTAGGAGATAGCCGAAGTAAAGTAAAGTGAGTACTAGGTAGCTTCATTTCCCTCACTTGAAGACACATTGTATCCTTTTCTCATTCTGTGGTATTCCCACATTCACTGGCCGTAGTTAAAATGGACACCATAATTAGCTCCCAGGATAGACGACTGGAGCGCTGGAAAGAACACTATGAGGAGCAGTTTAATTGGCCTACAGCCACACTTAACCTGCCGAACATCCAACACCCTGAATGGGATATAGACACAGGTCCTCATTCCTTAACGGAGGGTACTAAAGCTGTCACTAATCTGAAGCAAGGCAAAGCAGCGGGACCTGATGGAATGACTCCAGTGGTATTTAAGTACGGTGGAGACAGTTTACTGTCTGCATTAACTGAGGTTCTAGGCAGCGTCTGGGAATCAGAGGAAGTCCCATCGGGTTGGTGTAAGTCACTGATCATCCCGATATACAAGAAGGGAGACAAGTCTTCTTGTGATAATCACAGAGGGATTAGGTTGACTAATATAGTATCTAAAATCCTAGGCTCAATAATACTGCGTAGACTAAGTAATGCTCGGGAGGCACAAACACGAGAAAACCAGGCAGGTTTTAGGCCAGGAAGAGGGTGTATTGATCATGTCTTCACCCTTCGACAGATTCTAGAACATAGGCATTCCTACCGGCGTCCGACAATCATTATATTTCTTGACCTAAAGGCGGAATTCGATTCTGTCGACCGAGAGGTTCTCTGGCGATGCTTGGCTGTAAAAGGAATGCCGAGAAAATACATTGCACTGATTAAGGCACTCTACTCGTACTCATGCAGCCAGGTGAGGGCCTTTTGGCGAGTTGTCATTTGAAGTGGTGACGACTAGTGGCATCCGTCAAGGATGCCCATTATCCCCATTCCTATTCAAGTTCATCATAGACGTACTAATGGACTTAACCCTAACTTACTTCAGAGACTCAGGGATTGACTTGCTACCAGGGAGTAATCTCGTTGACTTAGAATATGCAGACGATATAGTCCTTCTAGGCGAGGACACTGACAAAATAGAGCAGAGTCTACTGAACACCTTGAGCAACAATCTTCGTATGTTTGTCATGCAATTCGCCCCTGTAAAATGTAAGATGGTGTTACAGGATTGGACTACACCGACCCCTAGATTAGAAATAGGAAGTGAAGTGATAGAGCTCGTTGACCGCTTCACCTACTTGGGAATTTGCATCAGCCAGTGCCAACGGGTTGATCTCTGACGAAATTTCAGCACGAATACAGAGGGCTCGTTTCGCATATGCCAGTTTACGCCATCTCTGGCTTAGTAGACGTGATATCCGACTGGCTATCGACCAAAGGGCGTGTGTACTGCTCAACAGTCCCCTCCGTCCTCCTTTATGTCTGGCTGTGAGACCTGGCCATTCAGAGTGGAAGACATGAAAAGATTAGCTGTCTTTGATCATAGGTGCCTGAGCTCTATCTCCCTAGTGAAGTGGTATGATAAGCTGAGCAATATTGAGGTCAGGCGTCGAGTCCTAGGTGAGTGAGGGGGGGGGAATCAGTCGACGAGACTGTGAAATTACATCGATTGAGATGGTTAGGACATGTGCTACGTATGCCTAGTCATCGCCTTCCTCGACAATGGGCAATGTTAGCTGATAAAGGGTCAGGCTGGAAAAGAGCTAGCGGTGGTCAAACGAAAACACAGCACCAGTCAATGAAATCTACAACAGTCAGTCTAAGCCAGCCAGCCACGTAGGAAGGTGTAGACTGGCTTCCTGACTGGTTGGGGTCCTCGGGACGGTAAAAACCAATGAAGGTTGGAAACAATTGGTGACATGGCTAGCTCAACATCGTTGTCAATGGTTGGCGCAGATGCATCCACTCCTTGTGACTTATGATTTCCAATGAAACTGTTTTGTTCTTCGTTATTACTACTCCTTTGTCTCACACCTCTGTTTACTGTCTCTAATATGCATTTCATCTACTTTCTTCTGTTGCTTTGTGTGCTACAAGGAGGGAGTGTGGTGACTTGAACTGGCGCACATATGTGCAAAGTTCTATGTTGAAAACCGACCGACCGACCGTAGTCAAAATGTTATTAGTCTCGTAGTTGATTGGTGGTTGCTTCAATTGCGAACTCGACTTTTTACTGAGTGATAGTTTGTGGATTTTCTAAACCTTTGCCTAATGATCTTCGCTGTGTGTGTGTGTTTGTTTATTATTATTTGCATTGTTATGTTTGATTTTGGGTTACAATAGTAAACTTTTATGTTTTCAGGTCAAGATTCTAGTACCCAACAGTACTGCTGGCATGATTATAGGAAAGGGCGGCAGCTTCATTAAAGAACTGAAAGATACAACAGGAGTATTTATCCAGGTTTCCCAAAAGTCTAAAGAGCTTAATTTGGCTGAAAGATGTGTTACTGTGGCAGGTAACTCCAGCTTTTATGTGTTTATGGTTGATATGCATAAATCGCAACATTAATTGATCATACTTAAATATAACTGTTTATAAATTAGTATAGGATCGCAAGATGTGAGAAACATATATAAATTTTCTGTATGTCGGTAGTCAACATAAACTACCAAATCTGGCTGACTGATGATAAGTTGTAAGATGTAGCTAACAGGCAAAATATCCAAATTTCTTGAAGAACTTGGTTTGCCTAAGTAACCGAATAACATTGAAATTTTCATAAAAGTGCATCAAAGCAAATCGCGACACACAAATAGGAGAATATAACGATACTGACATTACATTAGTCTAACACGAATATGGTGGATAGAATCAATAGATGACGATAAGTGGACAGGTTTCAAAATGCACGTTCGCTGTTGGAATGTTTCTGAACCATGTCACCAAGAGTCCCTAATCATTGATTCTCAACAAACTGGCGAGGCAACCTATATCTTGCTCAGACGCAAAGTCAGTGACCTGCAGCATTATTTTTGTGTTTTAGTCGAACGGCCCTTAAGCTATCCCCCCAGTCCAGTCTGACTTTATTTGAAGTTGTTGATTGAGGAAGACTAAATGTGGATAAAGCACACCCTAGACGACACCGTGGTCATTAAATGCGTAAAACCTAAATTAGCTTTCTTACATAATGCTCATCGCCCCATCTCAGTATGACTCAACATATTGTCCCACCTAGCACAAGCAATTGGACAAGTAAGCCTATAGTCATTTAAAAAAAAATTTTATTGGTCATATTTACTAGGGACAGAACAGATTACTGCTCAGTGCACATGGCATCTCCTGGATAAGCAGATATCACACCAGTGTCAGAGACTGTGCAAGTTGCCAAATACTAGATGAGCCTGTGCTGAGATTACGTTATCAATTAGTCCACTAGGGCCGATGCAACTTTCCAAATAAGTGAATCGGCCAACTCAATAAATCATTACATCCTGAAAAACAAATTTAGTAGCCACAAGCTTTGTGAAACACACTAAACCTATGGCACCGAGTCATTTTAAAGTGATGATTTAGCTACCGTAACCTGTAGATGTGTTACTGACTACTCTCTATTCCTGCCTCCTGCCCATTACGTGATAGATTCGAAATCCTCTCTGCGCTTAGATATCCATGTAGCATAATAAATAATAGCTGTCAAACTAGATGTGGCTCACAGGATATTGCGTGTGCCCGTATCGGGTTGCTAGTTTATGATTTCTGATCTCGAAGTGACTAATTTAATCGAATAGTAGTAAAGGATAAAACTATATGCTATGATGATTATACCTGTTTCTTAAGACGTTACTAAGCTTCTAACAATTCTCTGGCATTGCTAGAAGTCTTGTGCTCGGATCTGTTTTCAATTAACACGTTGACACGTTGATATAAAACATATTTGTCAATCATTAAAAAGTAGGTTAAACGTTCGAAAGGTAATAATATCAGATCAGCCAGGTGAGCAGGATCAATATAAGTGGATAAATTCATCAGGAAAGACAGTTGTTTTGTTCATAGATAACTCTCAAAGTCCACTTCAATTTGAAGTTATCTCTAAAAGATTGTCTAGGAGGACAATAAAAGCTTCTAAATAAATTAGGCTATCTGCTTCATCTACAAATCTTCTGTATTACTATTTAATGTTTTAAATAAGCTAATTTAATATAGACTAATCTGTTCTTTATTCGCATATAAAGATTCTCTGGGTAATTTCATGTTCTTTCAACAAACTCTTCATACTTAGTGGGTTTTACTTATCAGCTTTGTCTATACTTTCACAGGTGAACTTTCTCAAACACGTGATGCTATCGCTCTGATCCTGAGTAAAATCGCTGAAGATCCTCAATCATCTAGTTGCCCAAATATATCTTACTCTGAAGTAATAGGACCAGTTGCTAGTGCGTATCCCACTGGTTCACCGTATGCTTTAGCAGTAGGGTCACATCCAGGATTACCTACATGTGGAATGGGTTTCAGTTCAGATGTGCACTTTCGAACTGCTCCAGGTTCAAATTCCAGTTTTTCACCTCCACAAATTAGTTCTCTCTCACCAATTAGCCCAACTACCTCAAATCCAGCTTCTGTATCTATGTTTAGTGCGAATTCATCTTCAGCTGTTGCTGCTGCTATGGCGGCGATGAATGCGGTTGCTGCATGTCCTCAAAATGTTAGGTCATCTTCATCATCTACATTAGTCCAAAACGGTGGTCGAGCCCTCATGGGTCGAGGTGTCTCCAGCACACACCATCAAGCTATTTCTCATACTCCTCATAGTCTTTTGGGATCTGTTTCAACTCATTATGGAACTAAAATACCTACTACGTATGCATCCACTGGACCTACTACAATCTCTTCAACTAATTCAAGTGTTGGTCTTGAAGGTATACGCAGCGTTTTAAAAAGTGCTGGTTATTCTGATGTAGCTACAGAAGAAATTGCCAATGCTATGGATGTATTAAGTCTGTATGGTTTCATCTCTATGTCTAGCCTTACCGGATGCATTAATTCCTCATCAATGGTTAATTCATCTACAAATAATAATCATCTTCCTATGAATTCTAATGCACTAATAAGTGGATTAGGAAAATCATTTTCCAACTATGAATCTGGCGGTCATCAATCTCCAATCTTTTCAAACAGCTTCCATTCTAACGATCTTCCATTTCATAATTTTCGAAATCTTGGAACAAATTCTATTCAAAATTGCACTATTTCACAGCCGCCCAATCACATGTATATGCATAGACGATCGTCATTTTCATCGTATCAACCTGTCAATATGAATTCACATTCACGTGCTGCTGCAACTCACTTAACCGCTACAACATGTGATAATGTCATGATGAATAACACTGAAATCATTCCGTTAATTAAAGACTTGAAAGTACAAGATTCATTATGTGTTTCCTCGGATCCAACTGTTTGTTGTGGTTCAGTTGATGATAGTCATAATTTAAATGTCACTGCAGGACTTTATTCCTCGTTAACCTCGAATGAAAGAATTGATGCAAAAAGCACTACTACACAATCCCCAGTTTTAGGGATTCGTGCTGTTTCTCCAGTCTCCAACATGTCAATTAAAAGGAATGGTGGTGGTATACTACCAGATAGTCCTGCTAATAATGGTTTAGTTCTCCGTCGTGTATCAGATGGGAATGTTGGTGAAGAACTAAATAAGAAAAATGGTTTATGTTGTACAGCAATAACAATAACAGCAACAGCAACAACAACACCAGCAACATCTGTGACGAATAATGATGCTAGTCGAACGAATAGTTTATGGAATCTGTGACAATTTCCTTTTTTTTTTTAGGTATCTAATTTTCTATGTTCAAATATATATATTTCTATTGACATTCAAATATATAAACAACAACATATTACTTTACTCACTTGCTTCTTCATAACTTCTTCATAACAAAGGAAATACCTCAATCTCATTCATTGGTGTATCATTGTCATCATCAACATCATCGTCATTATTATTATTATTATTATCATTATTTTGTGACTGTCATTGGTTATCTGGGTGTGTGTGTGTGTGTGGAGTGAGTGAGTGAGTGAGTGTTCATCTGCTTTCTGTCAACGCACATCCTCCTCCTCATCATCATGATGAATAATTAACTCTGATATCTCTGATGTTTTTCTTTTTTGCTTTGCAGTTTGAGACTTCTTGATGAGTAGTAGTGCTTTTTTTATCCTGTTTTGTTTTTTGTTGGTTTTGTTTAGATTTTTCCATTTTTATTGTCTTTCCAAGTAATACATATATTGCTGTTATTATATATATACTCACAGTATTGTTGTTTGTGTGCCTTCTAAATGACTATCACCAAATCATTACACATGATGAATCATAAAGTTATCCCATTCACATTATACTACTTGGAACACCACACAGTATATATATTGCCATTTTTTGTTCTGATTTAATTTTTTGAGACTATTAAACATCATTTATCATGATTACCTTATTATAATAAATAATATGTAACCTTTTGAAAGACAATATAGAATACTTCATGTTTATCATATAAATATTCATGTTTACCTAAGAAAACAAACAAACATAAATACACACAAACACAAATGCACAAATGGCATTAATGCACATACATGTTCACTAATCACCCAGTGCTACCTGCTAACATCTCTTCATCTTTATCTCCATATAAATGCCTTTTTTTGACACAATAGTAGTCGTCGTCTATCACATATTTATTATTTTTTGTGTGTGCTTAGTCTTCATCATATTGGACGACTGATGAAATGGACTTGACACCAACTACTCTGTCATATTTGTCTGTCTTCCCTCACATAGTCTTTCTTTCTTTCTAACTGGTTGGTGACGGTTAATCAAATTCCTATTATCATTATCATTACTATTATTATGTACCTGGATACTTCGCGCGCTTCGTTTCCCGCCTGTTTCCTTGTAGTGTTATCATCTCATTGTCTTTTTAGCTGATAAAGAAGAAAATCTTCTTCTCTCTCTCTCTCCCGTCTCTTCATTGTCACATTGTTCACTTGATGAAGAAGAAGTACATTTCTTTCATGTTTTCCTAGTGCCTGCCTGATTGATTTACGAAAAACACATTAAGAGTTAGTTTCATTTCATCGTGTGTGTGTATGTGTGCGTAAATCATCAAATGTTAAACTGTGTTACACAATATGCCTTCTGAAATTCGTCTCTGCTTTCTCGAATAGCCTGTGATATCGTATTTGTCGTCATTTTCTTTTCCTGTGGAGTCAGTCTTCCGTCTTCTGCGAAATCATACCTGGAAGGAAGGAGCAAAAAAAGCGCATCTCCTACTCCTGCTCATTCATCCATCATTAGTTAGAGAAGCATCTCTCAATGCTGATTATATATAAAAGCGGTTCCATACTATCTCTATCATGGGATTTCTTTATTATTACAATTATTATTTTTACTCGTACTACACTTCACAAGAACATATTTATTTACTTATTTTTAATTCGTCAGTATACTATATAGTTTGGTCCTTTTTTCCCCCTCGTCTCGTTTCGTTCACATTTCATTGTTGGTGGTGATCCCATAGTGTGTGTTTGTTATAATCGCTATAAAATTATTATTGTTATTTAATTATTGAAGTACTCTGTCTGATGTCAGTTGGCTTTTCTTTCTCTTTCTTTTTTTTACATAAACGTCGCTCTTCACACTCATTGCTTTCCATGCTTTATTCGTTTGTACTACTACTACTTTCCTTATCTTTTATTTTGTCACCAATTTCTTTATGCATCCATTATGTATCCATTAAATAATCTCCTTTCACATTTCTATTGTGTTTGCACACTCACTTAATCAAAAACAAAACAAAAAAGTATTTTTTTTTAAAAAAAATATTTCTTTTATTCCACTTGACATATTACTCTATTGCTCTTTTGCTTGTGTGTTTGCTTTAGAAGTCGTTCTCCACACACATACACACTACTTTCCTATCACAAAGTACACATCTGAAATAGTTAAACACGTTATTATTATTATTATCATCGGGAGGATATCTCTCATCAGTTTTCATTACCTTTGTGCTGCGCTTGTGTTTGTCTCTATTTACCCATAACAACAACAACAACAAGTTTTTCCGCTTCATTGATACATCCCTTTCACTCTCTTCATTGTTAGTTTTGTTTTAACCTAAAAGAATTGAATTATTAAGAGATAATGAAGTCTAGATGATGATTAAGATGTGATTAGTTTAGATTCGCCTTTTAGTCTATTTCTTCTAGAATAATCTTCAAGCAGTACCAGTGGCACTTTGACATGTGTGCGTGTGTGTACAGATGAGTATCCAATTTCTATCCGACTGACGATAGCTGCTGCTGCCTTTTTTTCATGGTAGTTGGGCTTACATATCACTGTGACTCAACGAACATAGGCATTCCTATCGGCGTCCGACAATCATTATATTTCTTGACCTAAAGGTGGAATTCGATTCTGTCGACCGAGAGGTTCTCTGGCGATGCTTGGCTGTAAAAGGAATGCCAAGAAAATACATTGCACTGATTAAGGCACTCTACTCGTACTCATGCTGCCAGCCAGGTGAGGGTTTTTTGGTGAGTTGTCATCTGAAGTGGTGACGACTAGTGGCGTCCGTCAAGGATGCCCATTATCCCCATTCCTATTCAACTTCATCATAGACGTACTAATGGACTTAACCCTAACACACTTCAGCAACTCAGGGATTGACTTCCTACCAGGGTATAATCTCGTCGACTTAGAATATGCGGACGATATAGTCCTTCTAGGCGAGGACACTGACAAAATAGAGCAGAGTCTACTAAACACCTTGAGCAACAATCTTCGTATGTTTGTCATGCAATTCGCCCCTTTAAAATGTAAGATGATGTTACAGGATTGGACTACACTGACTCCTAGATTAGAAAAGGGAAGTGAAGTGGTAGAGCACGTTGACCGCTTCACTTACTTGGGAAGTACCATCAGCCAGTGCCAACGGGTTGATCTCTGACGAAATCTCAGCTGAATACGGATACAGAGGGCTAGTTTCGCATATGCCAGTTTACGCCATCTCTGGCTTAGTAGACGTGATATCCGACTTGCTATCGACCAAAGGGCGTGTGTACTGCTCAACAGTCCGCTCCGTCCTCCTTTATGTCTGTGAGCAAGACCTGGCCATTGAGAGTGGAAGACATGAAAAAGCCGGTTAGCTGTCTTTGATCATAGGTGCCAGCGCTGTATCTCCCGTGTGAAGTGGTATGATGAGATGAGCAATATTGAGGTTAGGCGTCGAGTGCTAGGTAAGGCGGGGAAATCAATCGACGAGACTGTGAAATTACATCGATTGAGATGGTTAGGACATATGCTACGTATGCCTAGTCATCGCCTTCCTGATATAGGGTCAGGCTGGAAAACAGCTAGCGGTGGTCAAACGAAAACACAGCACCAGTCAATGAAATCTACAACAGTTAGTCTAAGCCAGCCAGCCACGTAGGAAGGTGTAGACTGACTTCCTGACTGGTTGGGGTCCTCGCCTCGGGACGGTAAAAGCCAATGAAGGTTGGAAACAATTGGTGACATGGCTAGCTCAAAATCGTTGTCAATGGTTGGCGCAGATGCATCCACTCCTTGTGACTTATGATTTCCAATGAAACTGTTTTGTTCTTCGTTATTACTATTCCTTTGTCTCACCACACCTCTGTTTAGTGCCTCTCTATTATGCATTCCTTCTACTTTCTTCTCATGCTTTGTGTGCTACAAGGAGGGAGTGTGGCGACTTGAACTGGCGCACATATGTGCAAAGTTCTATGTCGAAAAATCCGCTCCGATCCGTGACTCAACGAGCTACACGAATAATGTTGCTGCAGGTGTGTGTGAAGAAGGATGTTAGGAAAGGTCAACCCTGAAAATTGTACATCCCGACATATACCTTGTGGCGTTAAGATCTGCATACGAACTTCAAAAAGGGAAATGTATTACCGACCGGACTCTGTGGTGGTGGTCACACAATACACTACTAAATGCCCTTTCTGTTTCAGGTACCCCAGGAAGGAATCAGCTTCTACGGCGTGGACAGCCAGGATCTACTAACCGCACGCGCACACACACACACTCACTTCCATAAGTAAATAAGGCTTCCCGGACTTATCATCCACCCACTCATCGCGAAAGCTCCCATTTTGTACACTACAATAATTTACTCGCTTGTTTATTGTGTGGTTATCAGATAAAAAAAAAAGAGAAGTTTGACTGATATAGGAACCTTGGAAAGGACTCGTTATATAGAGTAGTGAAAGTGTTTTTATTATATTTAGTGACTTGTGATTTTCGCCGTACACACAAAATAACTCCAGGCTGTGGTTTTTCTATTCTTATCGAAGTAGAAGAATTATTGGCTAATAATGATATCTCCATTTTTGCTTATGTTCTTCTGTTGGGTTTTTGTGTGAGGAATTTAGTGATTTATCAAAGAGCTCTATATTTACCATGAACGACAATTAACCTATCAGAAATGTTTGTGCTTTGAAAAGTCAAAGATCGGCGGCAGTCCCTGTGTCAAATTTTTTTTGTTTTGCTTCGGAGCATTCATCATCTAGGAATATTTGTAATCTCAAAAAGGTTCATGTTTTCTTCTATAAATCAGATTTTTACAACGCTCAGCTATGAATTCATAGACTTTACTTCTTAGCTAGTCATTTAATGTACTTAAAACCAAATGTGACATCCGACTATCAACCAAGGGACGTGTGTACTGCTCAGAAGTTCGCTCCGTCCTTCTCTATGGCTCTGAAACATGGCCAATACGAGTTGAAGACATGAAAAGGTTGACTGTTTTTGATCATAGATGTCTACGATCTCTTTCTCACGTTAGGTGGTATAATAAGGTAAGTAAGTAATGTTGACGTTAGGTTGGGTGTAGAGTGTTGGGCAAAGAGGGAAAATCAATCGAAGAGAAGAGGCTATATAGTTACATAGCTTGAGATGGCTAGGTGACGTGCTGCCCATGCCTAGCCATCGCCTCCCTCATCCCGCCGACGGGCATTACTAGCTAGCTGATATAGGTGCAGGTTGGAAAAGAGTAAGTGGTGGCCAAACAAAAACATCGCATCAATCAATCCATGAAATCTTTGACAGTTAATCTGAGTCAGGTAGGGAGATGCAGACTTCCGGGTTGGTTGGGGCCCGCCCTCGGGACTCTAAGAATCAATCCATAGCTGGAGACAGACAATAGGTGACATGGCTCAAAATCGTTGTCAATGGCTTACGCAGATGTATTCAGTCTCTATAATCTTTCATATTCCTTTCTGCCATTACTCATTCCGTTTCACTCTTATACTTGTCAAAACTCTTTTGATTCTCTTCACACATCTTCTTGTCTACCTTTGTGTGGTATTTGGAACGTGGGAACTGGAACTGCTGCACTTCGGTGCAGCCAAGTTCTATGTTGAATCCAGCCAGCCAGGACCAAATGCCTACTTTAGTTTACAATCGTTTAACTTTAAAACTTTCTGATTCTGTCGGAGACGAACAAAATTTAATACTGCAAAGTGAAAAACAGGTTCCAGAAAGCTTGTTTTCTGCTGTGTCAAATGCTCACACTATGGTGAAGTGCATGAATGTATTGAAATAAGCAGATAGCCTAATATTGAATTCAGAATTGGGAATAGAAGTCACTAATCTTAAAGATCAGAATTTAAAAAAAAATGTTTTAACTTATAGCACTGGTACGTTTAGTTTTCCCATATCTGATTCAAGCCTCAACTGTTTGGTTATTACTGCCGGGCGCCGACTGAATTTTATTTTATCAGTTAATTTCCATTGTAATCTTCAATCTAGGAGGTTCGTCATCTAGGTGCACTCTTTTTAGAAACAGTCGGCAGGAAGTTCTATCAAAATTTGAAACTATTCGATAACGTTTTGACTTTATGCGTGTTCAACCATCTAAGTGAAAATGATAGGAATAGAGTTATCTAGTCGGAGGTACTTTATCGTTTTGAATGTCTCAGCTGAGCTTATGTTGTTTAGTAGATGTAGTGGTAATTAAGGACTGTGAGTTAAGTGGAGACGTGTTGTTAATTCCTGTCCACTATCCTCTTAAAGCTAAATCTAACTAAGAATGTTACATTTTTAGTGCTGGTTGGCTTAATTTCAAAGCTTTTGTTGCCATTCTAGATAACGCTTTCACTGCTTACTTCCATCTGGAGTTGCCTAGAAGAACAATGAGAGAGCTACTTTAATCAATCCATCCAGTTCAGAGAACAAAAATACAGTCTACTGAGCTATAAATCTTCTCCATTATTTCAAGAATATTATATTATATCTTGAAAAATTATCATCTTAACCTTAGTAGTAGTATTAAGCGGACGATTATATTGACTACCAAACTTATTATCATGGCTTTTCGATATTGCAGTACTCTATTAGTTTTTCCGTTGTGAATATCATCTGAGGGTGAATTTAAACTTTAAACACCCAAGAGGTGAGAATGAATCAATGACCTTAGGACGCTCGGTCAGAACAACGCAGGTAAATAACACTATATTGATAAAAAAAAGGGTTCAGTGAAGTGTAATGACATTAAACAGGTCATCTCTGGTTCGTTTAGGTAAGGTCATGGAAAGATTAAAGTTGGGATAACACTACGGCCAGGTTGGGGTTAAGTTCATCTAATTAGCGCTACATGTAAAGGTTGAGTTGGGCGACTTATTTGGCTTTTGAGGTTAACCGGTTAATTCAAGGTCATCGGTACGTTCGCGCCTATCGAGTGTCTGAAGTTAACACTTTGCCACCCTTATAGGAAATTGAGAAGTCAGGTTATTTTTCAAAGTCATCGTACTCAGCAAGCATTCCTTAAACAATAGTGTGATTGTGTCATGATGATCATTCTGAATAATATTTGTTTTGCAGTCGTCCATATTATCGCTGGGTTTTTTTAAATGCCATAAAACTGGAATTCTAGTCACACGGTCGTTATTTTTCTCTTCTAATTGCAAATTTTGAGTGCGTCGGTGGTATAGCGGTTAGGACGCTCGCCGCCGACCATGCACATGGTCCGGGGTTCGATCTCCGGCCACCGACGCACTCCTTTACCACCTCGCTAAGCCAGAAATAATGCTGGTGAAGAGGAAAGGTTTGGCATGAGGCTAGCAACCCTATCCTGGGAAAATAAACACTGCTACATAAACTTCAA